GAAGAGGATTTTTACAGCCAGAGGACTTCTTTTTTCACAGGACGTCTGTATAGCCGGCTAGGACTGAAGTACAGTTAAATGTTGCCATAAACCAAACATGTCATAAGCTTAGTTTTTCAGTAACCTCTATTGCCAGAGGAGGTCTTAGACCAAGATCAAATCTCGTTTTCTGAATACGTGTGATTGTTTTCGAACTATAGTTTTAACGATAATTTGTGCATTCGAGTTTGTTAACTGGTGTATGTTCGAAATTTTTATTTTAGAATTCACGGAGATCGCTCGTTTCATTGTGATGTCTGTGGTGTTTGTTTGGATGTTCAACTTCGTGGAAATCACAGATGTCGCGCAGGGTCTGCACATGACGAATGCTGCATTTGTTTAGAGGTAGTGTATCAATTTGAAGTTCTGATTAGGAGTGAACGTTACAATGAAATGAATATCTGGAATGGCGAATTTTATTACATATAAATATGCTATAGACATTTAGATCTGATACTATAGTCTCTTTCTCTATATCTATTTTGCTCAATATATTCAATATATTCTAAGCAATGGTCAACACTAGATATTCTTACATATATTTGTTCTCTATAGGATGCATTCACAGGATGTCAGATCTTACCTTGTTCACACAAAGTCCATAAAGAATGCGCGACTCAGATGATCAGAAGTGGAATGTGAGTGAGATGCACTCTGAATTTTGATCATTATTTGATTTTATAGAACATACCATATACACACGCAAATTTCGACTCCTAAAGTATTTGTTTTCTACATTGTAGAACGCGTTGTCCGATATGTCGGGAAAGTTTTGCGCATAAATTGGAAAGAAGACCTCATCCTTCAAAGAAACCACCTTGAGAAAAAGAATAAGTTATGGACTATGTATGGCGTGGTAGATAGAACAAATCGATGATTGTATTTTAGATGTCAGATCATGTGCACATTTAATACGATGACTCTGCACGTTTAACATGATTATACAGTGTGCATTTAATATGATAATGATACTGATAGCCTTTCTTTGATTAGGTACACGTTTTAATTAGGCTAATTATGTGCAATATTAATGCTATGCGCCTTTGATTTGACGATTGTACACCTTTGTTTTGATCAAACGTAACCATCTAACGCTCTGATCTTGAAAACACAAATTCATTTCTCTGTCATTTCAATGAGTGAAATTCAGAACGTAATTAACGAGTTGGTTCAACTTCGTGCGAGTTTCCTAGAAACAGAAAGTCAACATGACATAACTTCGACGATGCACAGCGTTCGATTTCGGTAACCTACCTTTGCAAACTGTCTATAAATCACAATCACAATCCGATCCAGGTCTTGATATGTAAGCTCAGAACAATGCACTGTCTGCACACCTACCAGACCTAAGTTGTACTCGGTCATCCGTCTAATAATAGTGCGAGTCGAGACGCCAAGCATTCTTGATATTAAAGTACGTCTTGTTGAATCCATTGACAGAAAGAATTCCTATTATCTCGGCAGAGAAACTTCCTAAACTAAGCTAAGAAATTTCCCAATGCTGAAGTAGTTATTGTTTCTCCCAAAATACTCACGCATATCATATTAAATGCACACTGTAATCATATTAAACCCCTAATCGTATTAAATGTGCACAGTCATGACCATCTAATCGACAAATTATCAATTTGTCCTATCTACCGCGCCATATAACTATGTAAATAGTGTATATCGTCATATACTCTGTTGCAAATAGCTGCAGATTTCATGGCATGATTTTGCCAAATTAGTTGAGCCATAGTCCAGCTCGTATATAAACAGATTCCTAATCGTTCTATTCTAATTTTGATATTGCACTCATAGTTTAGTTTTGTTATTGTGTTTTTTGCGTGGACAAAGAACATGCACGAACCATTATCGATTAAGATTTAGTCTTCAATGTATGTTCTGTTTAGAATTGCACGCAGGTTTTGGGGATATTTAAATGGCTATTTACTAAACTTTCAATCAGGGGCGTCGGAGCAGCTCTAAAAAGTTCGGGGGGCACACTTAGCGCCCACCCAAGGAGGGTGAAATGCCATTTGCTGCACTTTAGAAGGGGATTTACAGAGTTCTAAAGCTAACAGAATAACATAAAATATCTCAAATTGTTTTGTCTACACGTGCAACTGAAATAATACCAATTAACTTCGTGGTTTATAGCTAACCATTGTTGAAAAGTTGGGGGCCCAAAGACATTTAGGCCCCCAACTAAAAAAGTGGGGCCCCCGGCCCCTCCCCGCTTCCGACGCCCCGTGCTTTCAAAAAACATTAGTACGCAGTTTATTACTTATTGTGTGATATCTAAAATATTAATATTACATTGGAATGGACACCGTTCAACGTTGTTTACATCGTTGCTACCCAATTCCAGGGCCGCCGAGAGGGGAGGGGGGGGGGGAAATTGCCCCGAGGTTGTGGGGGCCCCTAGAAATTTAATGTTGGGCCCCAGCCATTTTTATTTTTTTCGGGCGAAATATTTCTGTTTTTGGACCGAAATATTTGTGTTTTGGGGGGCGAAGTATGGAAAATTGGGGAAAAGTCCCACGAAAGCAATTACAACGTACTTGTACGGAAAAAATTTTTACCTAAAAAAGTTGTCGGAAAATTTTCTTCCGGAAAAAATGTTGTTTCGGAAATTTTTTTTTGCAATAGGGACCCTTAAAAAAATTTTGCCCCGGGCCCCTGCCAAGCTCTCGGCGGCTCTGCCCAATTCACAACTTTAGACTACAGTGGACAATAGTAACTATTATGTATACAGTTATTTCAATTAAGGTTGTCCCCCGAGCAAAGCGGCAAAGTCGAATACGAGCGCGAAAGGCTGCTGGGAATCGTTAACAAATTAATTAATTTTCAAAGCGATTCCCAGCAGCCTTTCGCGCTCGTATTCGACTATTCCGCTTTGCTCGTGGACAACCTTAAATCTTAATTGAAATAGCTGTATACGAGTTGTTCACTCGTGAGTCGTGTGGATAAATTCTACAGCTTATATAGTTACCATTGTTCTAATGTTTTTTGTTTTTTTTTATTTATTTAGCTTTGCCAACTAGGGCAGGGTCACCACCACAGCATATGCCAATTACTGTGGGCCCTTTTTACCTAACCCACCCTGTCAACTTTCCCTGTGGGAGGAAACCGGAGTACCCAGGGAAAACCCACGGCT